AGACCCGAGTTTGTAGCAGCGATGTCAGACAAGATATGAATGTTTTTTTGGGCTCAAATGAAAGAGCGGGTCGAGAAATGGCGTGCTAGGGCCTCTAAACATGACAAATGTCTCCAAAGATGATGTCTGTTTTCAATTGAAAAGTAGAGTTGGGACAACATTTCCTGTGAGCCTAGGAGTCTCCTCTGGTTAAAAAATCATCCTTAGAGACATTTGCACGCCATTTCGAAACTCGCTCTTCAATTCCGAATACTTTTGAGAGTTCTGGGTAGCCCGTCGCCTGAATTATCGAAATGAACGTTCAGTCGGCGAAAAAATTCGATTTTGGCGAAAGTCGGCTTTCCCCCGGGGAAAATCCAAGATCTGACCCCTTGGCCCCAAGGGAAAATTCAATTTTTTATTTCGACATATCTGGTGACTCCGAGTGTTTCATTGGCCTTAGAATCGTTAGTAGATACGGAATCAACGTTCACTTGGCGTAAAAATTCGATTTTGCGGGAAGTCGACTTTCCCCCTGTAAAAATCCATAATCTGATACCCTGGCTGCAGGTGAAAATAAAATTTCCGACACATCCGAGTGGGCGTAAAAAATTCGCCCAAAATTGATGACTACCATTCAAAAGATCGCCATCATTTCCCAATGCACCGTGCAAAACCCTTCTCCCATTGCTAATAGCTCATTTACTTTTCCACTGGCGCATTCAGTTTATCATATTCTACTGCCCGATGGCCAGTTTAATTCAGTTAGTAATTTCCCTTGAAATGAGAATAATCCCGCGATCTTTCACCGTGCCGCAGCACTAAAAATGTCGACTGGTACATTTCCTGAGGATATCTCCAATACCGAGCCCTGTTTAACCACCGGATCTGTGATCCGAAAATTCTGTGCCCATCTGTTCCACCACCTTTCGTACTGTCGGCATTTTTCCTAGAATATGTCCATCTGAGATCGTACAAACGACCTCCCGCCCCTGCTCTACTACCCTTTCTACGTTCGAATCCTAGATTTATTAAATCATGTTGAGGAACGTTGAGATCAAAGCAGTGTTGAGGAATGCAGTGGCAGCCCACGCGAGGGCCAAGGAACTGAGTCACAGCGATGGAACAATAATTCACCAGACAGACACGTTTTTTAAGACTCCCCAAGGACGCCTGAAGCTCAGATGCTTTGAGGTTATTTGCAAGCCGGAAAGAATCATTCGGAGAAAATAATTAAATACCAATCTTCATTGGACGCCAATTCCCTTCGCAATCAGACTGTAGTTTATTTTAAATATCTTCAAGCTTGGAATTGTTATTATTTATTCCCTCCGATTGTGAGATAATTCTTTATTTAATCTGCTCTAGAGTCGCGAATTATCTCGTTATCTTCGTCTGTTACTGAGATAATTGAATTGATTTGAATTATCCGGCGCCCAATTGAGGTCTTAATTCTGAAATTTTTATTAACTCTATTGTTGTCTGTTCACAGAATGGCACCGGTGTGCTAGTTTACTACGAGCGTTCGGACACACAAGGGCCTAAACTCTCAGACTATTCACTCGTGGATTTGGCGACTGAAAAATCGTGCGACGAGTTGAAGAAAATTTTGGGAAAGGTCAATGGAACGTCTGGAGTCGTGGAGAAGACGAGGCACCTGTACATGGTGGGACAGTCCAGGGTGCACATTGACAGAGTCACTGGCCTGGGAGATTTTCTAGAAATCGAGGTGACATTGAGATTCGAATCAATCAATTCAGCATTAAATCGTCGATGAGATTGAATATTTTTAATGATTCTTCCAGGTCGTCTTGGAGGATCATCAGAGCGTGGAGGAGGGCCAAGTCATTTGTAATGATCTTCTCGCTAAATTGGGGATCTCTAATGATGATTTATTGGCGAAATCTTATGTGGATTTGCTCCAGGAAAAGCAGAGCAGAGAATGAGTGATTGAGATTTTTTGTAAGAGATATCTTCTGATTTTTATTGAATAAAAACGGGGGTTTTGTAACGAGGGAGAACTACTTCATTTGCATCCCCTCATGCTAATAGTAGCTTATGATCTGAGTAATAGAGAAATTCTAGATTTCATTGTCCGCCAAATGATAATGCTGGTGTAATTCAATAAGTCGTATCGCTTTTGCAATGAGAATGATTATAACCAGTTAATTGTAAAAAGGAATATCGAATCTCTAGTGCAGTAAAATGAATTAGTTGGAATCACTCACCGGCGTTGGATAAAAACAACAGCTACGTTTTCATCTCTGCAACGGCATACCAGCAGTTCTCCAGTGCTCGCACACCTCCTAGACGGTTGACCTTGACTGCTCTCTGATCACAACACACCAAGAATGCACTGAAGGATATCCAAGTACTTTGCTTATTTTTTCTTCGGTGAAATGCTATTACATTTATTATTTTCATTATTTTCATTTAATCATTACTTTTATTGTTTAAACTTCGCAGGTCTGAATTTGAATCTCGATATTAAAACTTTAGAAAACATTTGAAAAATGTGGACCAAAATTAGAAAGTTTACTTTTGAAAGACAATTGATGAAATAACTTAAAAATAGCAATTTTTCAAAATCACGAGCATTTTCTATAAATAATTTATGTACAACGAATGTTTAAAAAATAATAATTCTATGCATAATGTACAGCAAATGCAAATGTGCAAATGTCTTTTAATGACGTTGAATATTTATGATTTATTTCAATTTTTTCTCACGCAATTTAATTGGCAATTTCATAATTAAAAATGTGTAAAATCTGTAAAAGATACTTGGATATCCTTAACCACAACACATTTCCACAATCTCTTGAAATCACGATTCAACACTTCACTAGGCACTTCAGTGCTCAACAATCCACTTTCTGCACACAATCAACATCTCCCGGTGGCCAATGTCAATCCTCCGTGTCCACTATTACGAAAAAACCCCCAAAATATTCAATCTAATTTATCACTTCCACGAAATCCTTTGTCACTGCACAAAATCATCGGGCGATGCGTCCACCGAGTCTTTTGTTTGGTTTGGGGTGCTCGAATTCCTTCTTTTCCTCTCCCCACGTTGTTTACTTTATTACTTTATTCAACGCAGCTCTAGCCTTCGCAATCCTCACCCAACAAAACACTACACTAGTCCTCCGAGTCTATAACACTCGCCGAAATGCCAATCCTCATCCCAATTCACTCTATTCTCTCAAAATAAAGACTCATCAGTGTACTAGACCCCTCAAGACGCCAACATCCACTTTCTGCACACAAGCCACAGCTCCCGGTAGCCAATGTCCATCCTCCGTGTCCACTATCACGAAAAAGCCCCAAAGTATCCAATAATAATAATTCACACCCACTAAGTCGATAATATTTACGTTATTCAGAGCACTTCGAGCCTTCTCAATCCAACAAAACACAACAACAAAACACTAGCCCTCGGAGTCCATTCTCACGACTGATAAACCCTCTGATCGACTGCTTTTCCTTAGTTTTGTATCTGTTTGGACCCGGCGTCGGCCGTTTCTCGTCACCACACCGCGTATTACGTCCACAACGCTCGCCGAACCGATAATTCTCACGTTGTAACACGCAGCCCGAACCCTCGACGCGAATGCCAGAGAAAATACTGGGAACTGCGGCGAGCATTCAAAATGGCGTTGGCTTGAGGGGCCCACGCATGCGCAGAGCGCTGGGAGCCGCGCGCATGCGTGGGCCACCCAAGCGCCGCCATTTTGTATGCTCGAGAGAATTCCCAGTATTTTGTGGGGGACTCGTTCCGGCGCCTCGCGGAGGGCTTCACAATGTAAAAACGCCGGCCCAGTGAAGTTTCGAGGATAATTCGTGAAAAATTGGGGGACAGGAGTCGTTTAGAGTGTTTGGGGGTGACTTTGGCGTGAGACAAAGGCGAAATTAGAAGATTTTCGACGTGAGAATCGACTGAGGGCACATCAGACCTGAGGCCTTTGTTCGTCAGCAGAGACGGTTCATTGTTGTCTAGCGGAGTTTGGGAGTATTTTGTGGTGTTTGTGGGGAATAATTGGACAGATCGGGTTTTTTTACAGTGATTATTGTGATTTAGTGCGCGTTTTGATGAAAAGAAAATTATAAAATCGAAGGGAAAGACCTTAGAAGTCCAGAAACGACATGAGGGACCCGTTTTGGGGAGCTTCGAAGTGATATTGGCGTGAGACAAAGGACTTCGTGAAGTTCATCAGTTTTCTGAGACAAATAAGGAGATTTTCGACGTGAGAATTGACTGTGAGGCCACTTCACGCCGGAATGAGGCCTTTGTTCGTCAGCAGAGGCAGTTGATTGTTGTCTGCTGAAGGTCTAGTGGAGTTTGGGAGTATTTTGTGGTGTTTGTGAGGAATCATTGGACAGATCGGGATTTTTTACAGTGGTTATTGTGATTTAGTGCGGGTTTTGATGAAAAAAAAATTATAAAATCGAAGAGAAAGACTTTATAAATCCAAAAACGACTCTAGGGACTCATTTTTGGGGAGCTTCGAAGTGATATTGGCGTGAGACAAAGAACTTGGTGAAGTTCATCAGTTTTCTGAGACAAATAAGGAGATTTTCGACATGAGAATTGACTGTGAGGGCACATCACGCCGGAATGAGGCCTTTGTTCGTCAACAGAGACAGTTGATTGTTGTCTGCTGAAGGTCTAGTGGAGTCTGGGAGTATTCTGTGGTGTTTGTGAGGAATCATTGGACAGATCGTGATTTTTTACAGTGGTTATTGTGATTTAGTGCGGGTTTTGATGAAAAGAAAATTATAAAATCGAAGGGAGACTTTATAAATCCAAAAACTACATGGGGGACCCATTTTTGAGGGGTTCGAGGTGACTTTAATGTGGGACAAAGGATTTTGAGTAATAATTGAGTCAAAGGCTGCCATTGTCAATCTAGATTTTTTTTGTGGAATGTTGGAGGTGATTGTTGTGTCTTCGAAGAGTGAAGTGTCTAGTGCTGTGATATTTTGACTGATTCCAGTGTCAACTTCCAGGAGAAGGAACTTCTCAAATTGAGGAGAACGACTGAACTCCAAGTCACCATCGTGGAATCATCGGGGGATTCAACACTACGGATTACAATGCAGGTAGGTTTTGGTGGAGAGGTGAAAACGGAGCTGTTGTTTTCATCCAACGCCGGTGAGTGAATGCAATCCCTTTATTTATTGATGAGTAATGGAAATAATTTAATAGAAAAACCTAGCGAATTCGAGTTTTCTACGCAACTTATCCTATTGAGATATTTTCTATAGAATTTCCTCGGCTCAAATTTTCCAAGTTTTTTTCATTCTATTTTTCTTTCCTTCTCATGAAGAAAATCAAACAAAAAAAATTGAAAATTTGAGACAAGAAAATTCTATGGAAAATCTCAACAGAATAAGTTACATAGGAAAATCCAATTCTATGGACTTTTTCTTCAATAGAATGTTCGATAAAAATCTAATAAAATTTTCTAACGAATTCGCTAGCTTTTGCTATTGAATTTTTTCATCCGTGACTTCCTCGAGAAGTTGAATAGGCCTGGGTGGGAGAAAATGAACTCTTGAATTTTGTTCGAATGTTCATAACTTGGAAATAAGTTCATTAATTGAACTCAATCTGGACTCATTATAAAGAGGAAGACTTCTACTTTCGATTCACTTACGACAAAAAAATGAAAGAAAATCCCATCGCTTTCTCTAGGGAACTCTAAGAGAATTCTATCATAAAATGCGATTCGATTATTGCGCGGATTCTATTAAAAATTATTCAACTTTCATAGCAAAATTATGTGAATGTTGATTTTTCCATACAACCAATTCTATTGCGTTTAGTTCTATAATTATTCTTGAGTAACAATCTTCCAAGTTTTTTCCTCTGATTTTATTATTCGAAAAAAATGAAAATACAGCGAAAAAAACTTGAAAAATTTACGTCGAATAATTTCTATAGAAAAATTAATATCTCTTGACTTTTAAACACTTTTGGCGGAATTATCTGCCTATCAGACTCCTCTAGATAATTATATCTAGATCGAAGATAGTCGTTCTTCATCCACGTGAGTGCACGTGAGTGTTCGAAACCATGCGCCTAACCTAAAACCTGAACGAACTGTTTACTAACATCCCCACGTGTTTTCTCAATTTTTAAATAATTAAAACTGCTCCACAATGTCAAACGGAGGGGAATCGGATCAGTCAATGTCTGACGACTCCCAGAGTGTCGATAACACTCTTGGGCCCACCACTTCCACCAAGAGACTGAAAATCGAGAAGAAAAAGAAACGCGGAATTGTTTATTTATCTAACATTCCAAAATACATGAATGTGACGACTGTCAGGGAGATTTTTTCAAAATACGGAGAAGTGGGGAGGGTTTATTTACAATTGGGGAGCAATGCAGGTAAGAAAACCCCATATTAAAGGATAATTTTAACTCCAAAAGTTCATTGGATTTATCAAGTAACTCGGGAACGAATGACGAAGAGAGACAGCAGGGAATAGACGTTTTAACAATGAAAATTCAATCCTCAGACGATAAAAAGAAAGATGGAGCAAAACCGAAGAAAAAGAGGAAAGAGGCCTCGAGGTACTTCACTGAGGGTTGGGTAGAATTTGAGAGGAAAAAAATTGCGAAATACGTAGCAGCAACGCTGAATAACACACAGATATCCACGAGGAAGAAGAGTAAATTTTTCGACATTATTTGGAACATAAAGTACCTTCCAAGGTAGGAAAAAACTAATAATTGAAGAACAGGGAAGAATAACAATTCAGTAATTAAGGAATTTCACTTATCAGTTACTATTTTTTTTTATTTTATAACGAGGGAATTTAGATGAAAATGTCGAGAGATCTCTTGCTATTTTCTCCTAAAAATAATTAAATAACAAGAAAGAAGAACAATTCAGTAATTAAGAAATTTTATTCTTCAATCAATATTTTTTTAATTCTATCAGTTACGAGTGAATTTAGAAGAAAATGTCAAAGGAGAGAAAACCATTCCTTTCCAAAATAATTACAAAAAAAATGAATTAAACAATTTCTCAATAGTTGAACGAAATTGTTCTTGATTAACCGAATTTGTTGGGTTCTGTAGATTCAAATGGGTCCACTTGAGTGAGCGTTTAGCCTACGAGAAAGCTGTTCATAAGCAGAGGTTAACCACAGAAATAGCGCAGGCTAAACGAGAGGTCAACTTCTTCTCTTACAACGTGGACAGGAGTAAAAAATTAAAGATCAAGGAGAAGAAAGGGGAAACGACAAATTTCGTTATGCCCGAGGTTAAGCAGAGGGAAACGGACATGGAAATTAGGAAGAGAAAGAATGAGAATGAGAGTGAAGACCGCACACAGTTTCTCAAGTCACTTTTCAGTTGATTTACTGTTTACTAGATTAAAGGGATCAGAAAATGTGCATTTGTGTATTTATTCAGGGCTTTTTGTCCTGGAGGGAAATCGGGAGGGAAATAGGGACTGATGATCATTTTTTATTCATCAATATCTTCTTTGATAACTCTTTCAAAATCCCAAATATCACAAACGTATTTTTTTTAAAGGTCATGAATTCAGTTTCATAATTTAACATAATTTATTTATTCGTACAGATGATTTAAAATTGTATTTGGCTCTTATAAGACATAAAAATTGCACATATCCACGATAAAACCCTTGAATTCTCGCAGTACTCAACACTCTAGTACAAATACAACTCGAAAATGTCAAAAATTTTGATTTAAAATGTCTCGTCCACTTCAAAAAATCTACAATCTATATCATCGATGAAAAAATGGATATTTCATGATTGGAAGGACGTACTGATTCATCATTAGCATTATTTACACGATTTTGAGTTTGAAATTCAAGCGAATTCTCTCGATTGAGATATAAAAATTGCCAAAAATTTAATCGCACGAGTGTATATAAAAATATTTGATTTCCCTTCTGATTTTCACGTAAATTTCGAAGGTTTCGTGATTCTCATGCCCATGAAGGTGTCTTAAGTGCACTAGGATATTTCGTATACTGGCAAGAACGTTTTTTCATTTCTTAGGAGATTAAAATGTTACTTGACTGCTGTCACTTGACGTTTCGGTGGTTTCATTGGCACAATACTGTCAACTTCGTTTGTTTTTTCGTTTGAAATTCGGTTTTAGTGGTAATTTCTGCTGGATACCACAGCTGTTGAGGAAATACTTGGATTTTGACTAGAATCCTATCCCAGAGATGATTGTTGTGCTAGTTGAGAGGGAAGAAACGATTAATTATTCAACGGTGTTTACAGTTCTGAGTGGAGGGACACATAATATCTGTGTAATTATGCAATTATCTGAATACTTTCCTCTCAAACCACCAGAGGTAATTGCATGATTAACAAAGAATTTATTTTCCAATTTAATAATTTAAGGGGATTTTATTACGTACAAAAACGAAGAATTAGTGCAAAATAATTATTGTTTATCATTCGTTTCTACTGCAGGCATTCAAAATATTGAAAATGGTCCAGTCTCCAATTTCTGAAGTACAGAATTTTTTTTTTTCAAAATTTTTCAAAAAATTTGGAGACAACAATTACAAATTACTCTTTCCAACTTCGTATTTGTTTAAATAATCAATTGGGTTCACAATTTCTTTCTTGACAATAAATTTACTGTTATTTTGCACAGATAGTGCAATTTTTTATTTAAACATAAATAAAATTGGCTAATTAGGAGTCGAATTACGGGTCAAATTTTTTTTTGTAGCTTGATTATTTAGGGCCCTGGGCTATTTTCAAGATTTCAAACGCCTGCGGGGCAAACGAATAATAAATAATTGTTTTTTTGCACTTTCTCTTTGTTTTTAGACATGTGTAATCGATCTTCAACGTATGAGAGATGTGACTGCAAAGGCTCACAATAGGTCCCCCTTAATTTTCGAAGTTTTTATATTCGAAGGGAGATACTTACAGCTTAATTAGTTTTTTTGGCATCAGCTTTCTCGTCCTTAGCTTGTCCACGACCTGAGAATTTCGCCATCCAGTCGAATAATCCACCCAGGAATAAATTACAGAACAAGTTCTCAAATGGCACGAAGGGATCGTGAATATTGAGTAGGATTGATGATAACTAGAAGCATCAGAGAGCCATAATTAATAAATTCTCCACTCAAAGTGACTCACAATTCAATTTGAAAAACTATTTCCTTTCAAATTAGCGAAAAACAAATTTTCTCTTGAAATTTCGTATGAGTGAACAAAACGAAAACATGAATTGACAATTTTTTTTAATTGAAAAGTTTCCATTAAACAAGATAATATAATAATTATTATTAATTGATATGAAATCATTATTATTAATTCTCAGGTACGAAAATTCTTGAAAATTTTTTCAGTCAAATGCCTAGCGCAAGATAAAATAAAGAAAAATCGATTGAATAAAAGAACTGAATTACAATTTTAAAAATCAATGAGAGTTGAGTTCACTTACCTTGAAGTACACAAAGAATATAACAATTCCGAAGTACACGAGTGCGTGAGGTGCTGAAATGAAGTCAGTCTTTTTATCCAATACGAAGATGATGGAAGCTACGAGAGACGCTTTGGTGTATCTGAAAGAATAATTCAAGGAGAATTAGAAATTTATGGATAGGGGAGTGTTCTAGTGAGATAAGGGAACTCAAGCCACGTTTTCGATAAATATTTCTTCACTTACACACTGGGTTGCATGAACTCCATCGCTGTTGGAGTCCAGACTCCTCGAATCAGACGTTCAAATAGTTTCGTGAAGCCAGCCCCATTCCCTAGTTGATAAAAAAAACAGTTCGATGATTTTTCAGTAATTTAATTGATATCAATATTGAATACCTTTGAGTGTTCCAATTAATATCATAATGAGGTATGCGTTGGGGTAGAGTTTGGCTGCGTGTGTGACACCATCATAAACTTTCTTACACCTGGAAGGAAATTATTATTCAGTTCTATCGATGGATTGAAAAATTCTGTGAATAGTATTTTCTCAATATCTCACCTATAGATTTCTTTCATAGCAGAACACACAATCTTAACTGGGAGAAATTTTGCTACTTTGTATCCGATGTCCCATGGCATGTAGAAAATAAAATACCTGGAGTGTGCAAGATTAAACAAATGGGAAGTTGCTTTTTTCTTGATATAGTATAGGTATTTTTGCTAATAAATTAGGAATATGCTTTGTAATGTTATTCGTTATTATTTCCTTGCTGAAGTTCGATTTTGTTTAATCTAGTTGCCAGGGTCTTAACTCTGTTCGGGGGTCATTTGTAACGTCGCATGGAATTTCTAATTAATTTTGTCCGGCTATTAATCATTCTCAACTTTGCAATAAATATTCCGGATTAAATAACCAAGAACCGAGCGCCTAGAAACTCCGCCAAATGAGAAATGCAATAAAAAGAATAAAGATAATTATTTGTCACCCTCGTAATTCAATTAAATCTAACGGTTTTTATCCAAATCTGTTCTCTGCGGGCTGTTCTCTTTTATCTTCTATTCTGAATAATTCAAGTGCTCTGATTTTGAATAATTCAGTTCGACTCAGATTAATTATTACATTATATTAAACCGATAAAATTTTTCGTCTCCGATTTTTATTCTTTGCTATTTTTTTAATGCATTCTATCAAAAATGTGAGGGTAGAAAGTGAATTGATGGATATTCTTTCATTATTTGAAAAAATATATCAATTTTAAAACTTTCAAGACATTGAAAAATCGCAATTTTTATTTTTAAAATACTTGGATGATAAATCAAACGACGCTATCTATGTTATCTTGAAACTTTGATAAAATGGTATTAGGGAAATATTTTCGTGCAGGTTTGAATGAATTTGATAAATCAAAATTGTGCATTTTAAATCAACTAAGATTTTTTTTTCAATGATTGATAGGTTGAATAAGATTCTTAGTATCAATTACCAGACTGCAGTTGCTAATAGTACTTGTTGGGTATTTTTTAAGGGTGCAAGTATAGGTTCTCCAAGTAATCCATTACATAACATTCCTCCAGCGAATACCACGAGCATCGTTGAGAGCCAGCATGACAGCGGATGTTTCCGCGAGAATGCTTGGGCGCCTTTTATTCCGCAAAAAAAATTATCAAACATTAATCAATTTTCGGTCTTCTCCATTCATCCGTATTATTGTAGAATGTGGGATTATTGTTGCTGGATTTATGAGACGTTTTAATTCACAAAGGGATAATTGATCCTCCATATGACACTGGATATAGTGCTGAGGGGAAAATCAAGGTAAATACGAAAATAGATCAGCTTCAGCAGCCAGAACAGTTGATGTAGAAACGTAAAAATTGCGCCAAGAGGTTTTCAATTTTTGATAATTAACATAAATTTAGTTTTTTGAAGGGAATAATTCAATTTCAAAAAACAATTTTGTTAGAAATTATCGGAAAGTCAATTTTTTCGTTGGAATCTCGCATGAATGAATGAAATGAAAACGTTAATTGAGGAATTTTTTCAAGTTTTAATTAGCAAAGGGGAAATTTACTCTAGGGAATGATTATCGATTCGAAGAATAGTTCAATTAAAAAACAATTTCTTTACAAACTATCGAAAAATAAATTTTCTCGTCGGAATGAACGAAATAAAAACTTGAATTGAGAGTTTTTTTGAATGTTTAAATTAAAAAGAGGAAATTAACTCAATGAAAAAATTGTTATCAATTCTAAAGCGCGAAAATTCTCGTAAATTTTGAAGAATTTCAGGACTACCTTAAAGCCCTCGAATTAGAAGTATTAAAATAAATGAGAAATCAATTATCACTGATCGTCAATTGAAAATGCTAATTGGAGTGCAAAAGTGTCATTTGAAGAGTCATAAAAAATTCTAAAAGGCTGAAAAAAAAATTATGAACACTTTGGTAGACGTCTCTCAGGGATTGGTTGGTCCACTTTAAATTTAGACTTCAGCTCTACGGGAGTTTTTAACATCTTACCGGGTCCCAAATCCTCTCTAACTTGCAGTGCACAGAGTACATCGTGTGCAACATCGAAATAAGGAAACATTTTCAATTTAATGACCTGATTGGCCATGTCCAGGAATGCCTCTGCATCCATGGTTAGTGCTGTCGTCCCTCACTTCTGTCAATGAATTGATAATTCACTGGGGAATGATGAATATTTTCGAGAAGACTTTTGCACGATTGCGTTTTACGTGGACTCGGCCTGGCGGTGCCGAGACACGAGACTCGACTGATTGCATGGATGGTATTTTTATTGACTACTCCGAACATACACATAGGCACATTTAATGTGATACTAGCGCCGACAGTCATTTCGTATTTTATTGAACTACCGTCAACGTCCCAGTAACTGACACTGTCCCGGTTTCTGTGGATTTTTTTAATCATCTTGGAATATTCACATTAGCTTTTATCAACACTTATTACCATCTCTAATTTTTTTTTTTTTTCCTCCAGAGCACTTGAATTTTTTCACTTTGGTGAGTCACTTTGCCACTCACTGATTTTTTTTTATCATCTTGGAATGAAAGGAAAATTACAAAATTCTTCAAAAACTCATTTCTATGGATCCAAAAATTCCTATTTTTAATGTTGCCTATTTTTAATTCAAGTTTTTGCATAAACAAATCAGTAGCGAAGTGGTAAACGGTTTAAGTCGACTTATCTCCCAGTTGAGTTTTTGAGGAATATTTCCAAATCTAAGGGAGATTTTCGTAATTACATTTGTTGTTGGACACCAACAATTCACCTATTCTCAATTAAAAACTAGGATTAAAGTTTTTACGTAAAAAAAATGATCAAACCGATTAAAATGGAGCTGAAAAATATTCGAAAATTAAAAAAAAATGCGGCGAATTGGAAAGAAAAATCTTCAGCTTGACACTAGGTAAAATCACACCCTGCTGAACCACCTGAGCCCTCAGCTTGCTCAGCTGTCATTCTCCACTTATAGGTTACTGTTTGATGAATCCTCAGCCACTCCAAAAACATCAAAAAGTGTTTCCGTTTTTTTAAAAGAAAGAGAAGTGAAATTATTTCCTAAAAAATCGTCAGTTAATTCAGAAAGATGGCAACGTGTTTGGAGAACATCCAGATGCCTTCCTGCGTGTGGTTTGAAGCTGGTGAGAAGCGAAATGCTCTCATGTCGATGCTCGCTGGAACTCTGGTAATTAATGAGTCATTTGTTTACTTCCTGAGTATCTCAACGTAATTTTTCTATTCCTTCGAAAATCGAAGGGTTCAAAAAATAGAGGACAATTCTGGAAATTATGAATACGATTTCTTTTGCATTTATTCGAACAGTTTTTCACGGGCTGGTGGTTTATCATTGACGCTCATGCCAAGTATCACACAGAGATGGTCAGTGCTTATCACGTTTGTGGAGTTTTGGGGACGTTATCACTGTTTATGTAAGTAGATGGGACTTTGAGGGGAGACTACTATGATTTTTGAAAGTCCCAAGCTATTAGAGTGGGATCTCTCAAACGTCGAAGATCGATTATATGTGAATAAACCCGAAGAATCAGCGGAAAAAATTGTTTATTGTTCATTTGCCCCAGAGACGATGAAAATATTGACAGAATGTAGAAAAAACAAGTACAATTTCCTTTTTTCTAATTCAACTTGAGAATAGCCAATTTCGTTTTATTCAGTCATTCACATGACATTTTCCACAGAATTATTATTTTCTTAAACATTCGTTGTTTACGAATAAATAATTGAAATTGTTTAAACTTTAGGAAACCTTTTTTTAGACACGAAATGGATTTCTGGTAAAATTGGAAATATGAATAAATTTTTTAAGATTTGGACCCAATGATTTTTATGGTGAAAAATGTATTTTTTATAAATTATTTCATCAATCTTCTTCCAAAACTAAACTTTTGAGTTTTTTTTCAGTCGTGCATAAAAAAAGAATTTCTATTGATTGCTTTTCCTGAAGAATCGTTTGTTCGTCCTGAAAACACTGCTATTATTCTGAATAATTGCAAGAATTTTATTTTCTTTCAATTGATTTATAACCAATTAAAAGAAAATAGTCGAAGATGGTAATGATTCATGATGATAGCAGTGTTTTCAGGACGAACAAACGACGAACAAACAATTCCTAAGGAGGAAATTTTTTTTTATTTGTTCCTCCTAAGGAATCGTTTGTTCGTCATTTTTTCATCATAAAAACACTGCCATTATCCTGAATAATTTAATTATTAATTGGTATTAATTATTTACAAAATTTTTTTTTTTATTTCTTCCCTCATTATGCATTATGCATGTTCGTAATTATTATTCTCCACATTTTATTCTATTTTTGACAAAAAAAACCGACTACCATCAACTTTTTAAGCGTCTGCAGAGCAAACGAACAAAAACAATTTTTTTCCAGCTATTGTTCGCTTCTATACTTCGATTTTATCTTACTCCAGTATCTTAGAAAGAGTAGAAGTTTAAATAGATTTTATTCTCAGGGTGAATTCAGTGACAAATGCCCAGATCAGAGGCGATGCTTACAACGGTGGGTGTATGGGTGCCAGAGGAGCCCGACTCTGGCTCTTCGTTGGGTTTGTCCTGGGATTCGCTGCTGTCATTGCTGCCTGCTGGATTCTATTCGCTGATTTTGTTGCCAAGGGCAAGTGACTTTGACCAGTGATTCAACTCTGAATAAAATTAAAATCAACTGGCGAAATTATCTCGATACTGAGTCATTCTAGTCCAGGGGAAAGTGTCGAAGATGTTTTTTTTATAGTTGAGAAAATTCTCTTGGAAGAAAAAACTCTTGACATTTCCCCGCAGCATCAGTCATCATCAAGATAATTTCTCATTAAAAAGAAAATGTATTTAACAAAAAATGATTTATCATAGTTTGAAATTCGAATTTATTGCATGCGATGATCAATGAAAATTCAGAGTAATTAATTCATAATTTAATGCTCTTTACATCAGATGCCCCACACAATTGGCCAGGAATCGCCCTCTTCATGCAAAGCATTTTCATCTTCCTCGGCTCATTGACTTACAAATTCGGCAGGTCTGAGGATCAATGGAACTAAAATGCCTCCACCTATATTTTTATTATTCATCAATATCTCCCGAATTTCCACAAAATTAACGACAAAAAAACTCATAAGCCGAAGAAATTGTTTCAATACTTCTAAAATTATTTATTGATTGACTCCCTTCAATGATATACTCACATACATGCAACAATTATAATCTAAGACCTAGTGATCTTACGAATTAATTATACATAATAAATAAAGATGAAAAATACAAAAAAAAAATTATAACTAATTGGGATACGGAGCAGTTCGTTTTGTCCTCGATTTCCATGAAATATTCGGATTGCCAATCCACTGTCTCATTAATCCCCTATATACAGTCTTTTATTCATAAAATACTTCTAAATGAGCAATCGAAATATTTTTCTATACACATAATTCCATGAACAGTATCGATCACTGTAAAAAGATGACTAAATAATGAACAGTTTTTATGATCCTGTACTTTTCAGAAATTATCCTAGAATTAAGGAGAGACGTCGATTTTTTGAAGACCCTTTTGTAGTTTTCACTTTCACTTCAACAAGATCCTCATCAAATTCCTCTGTCTCCCCTAGATTTGGAGGTTTTTGAAAAGAACAGATCTGTATTGAAGTAGCTCTACCCTTTCGACAGGCTGCGTCGAAGATTTTGTAGATTTAGTCATTTTAATTTTTTCATTTTTTTCACTAAATTTCGTGAGAAAAATAGGGAAAAATTCATGCTTAATGAGCATCATCATTATGGAAAATAGTTTTTAAAACAATTTTTTGCTTTCATTAATAAATAATGGGACTTGCATTCAAACGGGCGATCATTTTTTATGAAGTGACAAAAACTTCACCGATTTTTCCACATTTTATGAAGAAAAAATCCAGATTTTAGTCTTTAATCATAATAGAAATGTTTGATTCTTCAACATTTTTTCTTTATAAAAAAACGGTCGTTAAATCGAGAAAAAAATCGTGATTCTGAATCTAATCGATTTTTTATCAATTTTTGTAGTTATCAATGAATTCTACATTTATCGGAAGAGTAAAGCTACTTCGTCGCCCCTTGACTCCAAAACCCAATGAATATTCCTCAACATTCTAAGTTTTCCTTCCCCTCGACCCCTAGAACACATTTTATAATCGTCTTATTCTCCCCTCCGCTAAAAAAACCCTAATAATTGATTATAAAAATTCTCAATACTGTGGATTAGGTGAATTCCTCTGATAATTTTGATTCTGATTCTGCTGAAGAGGCCCAGCAACAGGACTGGGCCTGTTCTGCTCCATTTGTACGGTCTGACTCCAGCCAGGAGGAGGTGGTGGTCCCGGAATTTTTCCATAATTACCCCTATTGCTCCCCTGATAGCTCCCATAAGCCGAGTCATCACTTCTCCTGGATATATGTCCATACATGCTCTCGGGTCTTCTGGGCCCAGTGGCGCCCTCGGGCCCATTTCCCTGGGCCTGATTGGGGCCCCCAAGAGGCTGCTCCCGCTGTTCTCTTTGTTCTCTCTGTTCCCTCTGCTCTCTCTGCTCTCTCTGTCCACTCTGACTCGAATTCTGAGAGTTCTGGGAGCTCGATGGAGGGGGCACAGGGGCCCTACCGTAAATACTCGAAGAGGTAACCCCATAGATGCCGCTCTCTCGAGTCGAAACACTCGTTGAAATTCCTCGAATACCGTAAATACTCTGGGTACAGGCCTGCAACTGATTCTGCATATTTTGATTGGTGCTGTTATGATTTTGGGCCTGAGAGTGGCTCGGCGGTTGGCTAGATGACACCGATGAGGCCCCCTGCTCCCTGGAGGGGAGGGGGAGAGTGCTGGGACCAATGCGCATGTGGTAGAGGCTCTGCGCAGGCGCGAGGGGCCCTGGCTTCGGTATGACTAGGCCCTCTCTAGGCCCTGATGTGGACTTGGCGTAGACACTTTGAGATCTGTTTAGATTGGCACGCGTCAGCGGTGGGGACTTGCAGTAGAGGGATTTTGTGCCTCCGTAGATGGATTCCACGCGCTCGATGGCGCTGGGGGGTGGCGAGTAGATCGAGGAGGCCCCGGTGACTGGACGATAGGTGGCGTAACCGCCCGGGAATTTAGGGCCTGTTGCTTTGTCGAGGTCGTCGTAGGGGTCGTCTTCCGAGCGCATTGACGAGTTGTCGCCGTCGTCTAGGTCTACGGAATTACGGGGACGCTTCGGGGTTAGCGCGTACTCGTGAATGAGGGAGGCTACTAGGCCCCCGGCTATTGGGCCCACCCAGTAGACCCAGTGGCTGTCCCAGCGGTTCATTACGAAGGCTGGGCCCAGGGCGCGAGCGGGGTTCATGTAGGGACTCTGGAAATTTGAGTTTTTCGTGAGTTTGGCAGGAAAAACGAGAGGGATTATGTGGGTCTGAAGATGAATCGAAAATTCTCTACAAAATTATTTTTCATTTCTAAGCGCAATTTCAGTTATGTTCATACTACTTCAATGATCGGTTGAGTATTTACGTTAGACACTGGTGATAAAAACTGTTTTTGAAGATGCATTTCTCTTTGAGATTAATAATCATCTGGATGCAGGACCAGCAGAAAAATAAACTCGGATTAAAAGTTGACTGAAGAATTTTAACGATCCTCCTCTCGAACTTATTAGAATATTTTCATGAGCTTTATATTGGAGTTCGTCTTTTCTCCGAGTTTCGAAAGTTTTACTTGTGATACTTGTGCAGTTGTTGTATTGATTAAAATTCCGGGAGAGAGAATAATGAAGGGAAGCGCACATAATGAGATCCAGATGCCAGTTGCTGGGACATTGACGATATTCTTAAAAAAATTAACTTACCGCGACCAAAGTAGCTGCTGTATAGGCAGCAGCGAGTACAGCAGCAGGTCTCGATGTAATGGACCCCATGAGGTTTTTCGAACTATCGCAATTGAGATGAGCGAGAACAATGAACACCGAGAGTGTCTTCTCCAGCAATAATTTTTCGATAGAGCCCGAGAGACGGCCGGTGGAGGAGGGCATTGCCTGTACACCAGTCACCCTGAAACAATGAGCAATAACAATGGAATTATTATCGAATGCATAACGAGAAAATTATAGGCCACATATGGGTCACCTTATGCGGGCAATTGAGTGATTGTTTTTTATTTGGAGTATCTTCAACCCCATTGATACATCATTATCCTACCACTGATACAATGTGTTTTTTTTCGGGAGGAAGGGGGGAGGGGATTCCCCCGGGGGCTATAGTGTTTATATTAGCCAGGGGTTACGAGAGGGGGGTGAGTGTGTGACTCCCAATCATCCGGGGTCACGGGTATGTGACCTTTTATGAGGGTCGATAATTATTGACGAGAATTTTTAGTAAATAAATTCTGGTAAAGGGAAATTTGAGGGAATGAGAGGAATTTTAACGAGGAAATTCAGAAAATTTGTTGAGGAATTGGATTAAAATGAGAGAGGGCTTTTTCCCTTGAATTTCATCTGTAAACTTCATTAATTTTATGAGCCTTGTGATTTTTTACTCGGACACTGAATTTGATTTATGAATTTTATGAGTCTTAGTCCCTTTAGGATCTCAAAATTAATAAATCAAGTTCAATTTTCGAGTCGAAAATCACTTTTTGTCTGGAAAAACGAATAGTTATGACAAATTTTTGGATAGTAATTTTTTTAGCTGAATATGTTTCAGAGAACAATTTTCCTTTTTTCATAACCTAAAATTAAGAATTATCGAATGAATCGAAGATTATCGAATGTTTGAAGATCTTTCTGTATTTTCAACTTTTTAAATCCCCTCTCTCTCTCTCTTGGATTAGAGAGAAATTTATATCAGTTAATTTAGAAAATTCGTTAAGACATTGTATTTTTTGAAAAAATAATTTTTTGCACTTTTCATCTTCAAATCTTAGGAATTTTATTACTCTCAGGAGCCCAAGGATCACAAAATTAAGAAAACTAATTGAATATTGAAGGCAAATCTTGAAAGATTATTTTATTTACTTGACAAAAAAAATGTTTCAGAGAATAAATTTTGATCGTTTAAAATTAAATTCCCCCGCGTGCACTTGACTGAAGTGTGTTGTGTCCAACCTGTGCACTATTCCACCGTTTCGCACGGTATCTCCAACAATGAATCAGATTTTTTTTCGCTTACCCCAGGATATGGGTGGATACACGACTGAGGGAAATAAGGGCGGGGGGAGGGGTATTTCGGCTCACATTGAGCGTGATACGTTTTAAATAAATTTCAGGCTCAAGTGTCGAAGTTATTGGGGTCGGGGAATATCAACCCTCGAGAAAGCAGGTTTAACGAGCTATTGATACGTTCCCCACACCGCAGACGCTCGAGCACTTGTTCGTATACATTTTTCCGCCCCTCGCTGAATTTTTTTCCTTTGTTGTCGTTCGATAGATTAAACTACTGATCTCGATTAAATTCACTTGACATTTTTTGTAGGTCTCAATCTTCTTTTTTTTTATTTCGGGGGAAAATTGGGTTTAAGTGCAGCGTTTAATGATTCTAATCAAGATTAGTAACGCTTAAGGGATTTTAAATATTGAATATTTCTAGCGAAATATGAGAGGAGGGAATTTTTATTGGAAATGTTCTTTGATGAGGTGTTGGATCAGAATATTTTATTTTAATATTTATTTATCTATTTATTTATTTATTCAGTCACATGTGGGGCTTTATGGATCTTCACACCTTGTCCCCCACCATTTATTAATGATGAACAATTAAAAAATGATTAATAAATAAAAAAACACGTGCAAAAAAATCATTGAAAAACCTAGAAATTCACTATAAAATTCACATGGAAAAATTCTTGCAGAAAAAATTCTATTGGATTACCATTAAATTTCTATTGAAAATTCTAACTGTTTTTTAGAAATGTTGAGTGTAAGATATTCCATAGAAAAAGCAATAGAATTCTTCTTTTCTCTGCAACTTATTTTATTGCTATATTTTTTTTATAGAAATTCCTCCGCTCAAATTTTTATGTTCGATTTTTTAAATGAAAATAGAGGAAAAACAGCGGAAAAAAACGGGGAAAATGTCTCAATAGGAAAAGTTGAAATTCTACAGATTTTCTCGATAAAATAGTTTCTATCGCGCATTTTCTATTAAAAAAACGCGCAGTGAAGTTTCAAAAGAATCTTTCAATAGAACTTCAACGGAAATCTACTAAAATTCTTCACCGAATCCGCTAGATTTTTTTCCCAAAATTCTTTCGTGCGTGAGAATATTCTTTCATTCCGAAATCATTCAGACACTGGAATTCTCGGTCGAAAAAAAAAATCTAAAAATAAACAACTCCAAAAATAAATTCAGTGTTTGCCCTTAATTGTAAAGTTCTGTGATGCTGGGAACATCGAGGGTAAGTCGGCAGCCGATTTAAAATCTCCGTGGGAGCGGGTCACGTGTGATACCCCATATTACCCCTCATCATCACTCCACATCAATGTGTAATGTCTTTGTAATGCACCACGCTCAACAAAACTCTAATGCCCACCGACACGTGATACAAATTAATCCTCAAATTTTCATGATCGATCTCGCCCCCTCGCCGCCCGCCCCCTCCCTCCACACTGTTTAACAAAATTACTCCTGAAATTTCAAGTAAAAAATCTTTAAATTTTTAACAATCACTCACTCAATCACACGAAATTTTCATGTATTTTGTTATTGAACAATCAGTTGAATTCTAGAGTATTCAATGGAACTGCAATTTTCAGTTTCACATGAAACCCTTTTCCAAATCTTTGAACAAATTTCCTGTCGAAAGTTATTGATATTTTTACAAATCGAAACACATTAATCTCTAAGAGACGATTATGAAGATCAATATCGTTCTTTGAGTTCGAAAAGTATTAATAACTTGTTTGAAATTTGTTTAAAAATTTCCAGGAAACGTTGGCCTTCTGTTACCCCTTAAATTAATTCAAATTCACAATATTAAGAATTCAAATGCAACTATTGTTCAATTTTCAAAAAATTTCTAACAGTACAAGAACGTTTTATCGTTCACGGAGAAATTGATAGAACGGTAGCTGAGACCCGCTTGCGATGACAATACT